TGGCCGGCTCGCGAGGCTGGGTGTGTGCAGACCACTCGTCTCCCCCACCCCCTCCCCGGGCCGCGTGAGCCGATGGTGGTGCATGGTCCGGGGAAAAGGAAACGAAACTGCTTCCCCTTGTGCTACCTGTTGCTGGCGAGAGAACGCCTAGGTTCCGGACACCCGTTCTGGCTTGTGGAGGACAAAAAGAAAGGGTGCCCAAACGAAGCGCGCTGAAATCGGAGATATAACGTTTCTGAAAGACAATGCAGAACTCTCTGGAACTTTGGAGTTTTGGTGTCCCAGAGGAATGAAACCAGATTTCGGGTCATGCGAGTGTAGTGGGACAGCTTCGGCACTTTCTAAAGTGAACACATCATAAACGCAGGAAAATCAGTTTCAGTGTAAGGAATTTAGGTGACTTTGTATAGCAACGAAAAGACCGACTTCCAGGGATGGTGTTATTTAGTAACGCACCATGATTTTTTGGAAGAAAAAAAAAGTGGAGGTTCAGATGAGAAAGACTCGTGGCCTCTTTTTTTAATTATGTTTATGAATGTTTTGCTTGGATGTTTGTGCACCATGTGTGTGCCTGGTGCTGGTGGAGGCCAGAAGAGGGCGTAGGATTCCCTGTCTGTTAGTCACACACAGTAGCGAGCAGCGATGTGGGTGGTGGGAGTTGAATCCGAATCCCTTAAAAGAGCAGCCCTAACCTCTGAGAGCCCCTCATGTATGTCGTTTAACCGAAGAAGTCACATAGATTTCTCTATCAAACTATCAGTGATTTACCCCTCTCCCTTCTCCACTAACCTATTCCTATTTAGAAAAAAACCAGCAGTTCTGGGATTTGTTTACAGTTGGTTTTTCATCTTCAAGTAATTGCCTTAGAGGTATGCATAAATACAGATTACTGAAGGAGAATTTTTTACTTGTAGGAACCATTCATAAACAAATTTGAATTAGGAGAATCTTGATATTTAAATTTTTGCCAGACGCTGCTGGAGCATGCCTTTCTTTAATCCCAGCACTTGGGAGGCAGAGGCAGGTGTATTTTAATCACGTCAATTTAGTTTTAATTGTAAAATGGAGTTGAATGTTTTCAAATTATGAGGTGATAAATTCTAATTTTGTATGCAGCCTATTTAAATAATGATAAGTGTATTCTAAATTGTGACAATTTTTTAAAGTTCCATTATTGACTTAATTTCTATTACAGATAAGAACTTCAGTTTTCTGTTGATGTGGAGGTAGGTATCAAATTGTTGACTTCTGAGAGTTGAGGGAAACTGCAAGGCGATGTTTCTGCAGTTGGCTGGCTGGCTTGCTTGTTTGGGCTTTGGACACATGCCTTATTTACTGCTCCCATTAAACTTATTTAAAGAAAGCACTAATTTCATAAGAGTACTTATTACTGAGTTGTATAGCAAAGTTAAAACCAGTTACTGTTTTAAGTTTTGTGGAGACTAGTAGAAAATGATGTCATTTCCTAAACATTTGTATATGATGCTTTAAAAGAGAAAGAACTCATTGGTTCTTGGAATTGACTGATAGCTGAGGCATATTTTAAGTATTTAACAGTTGCAATCCTCATTGTAGCTTAACGCTTGATGAAAGAACAGTCATGCTTTCTTTGAAGTCATATTAACTCTGCTTATTTCCTCAGACATAGGGTACTTGCAAGTTTCCAGTGTTTCAGAAGGGACTTTTGTATTGAAACTGGAAGACCAAAGTCATAACAAGCATGCTGTGCTGGGGAAATGCATCCTATGGACAACTAGGTTTGGGTGGAATTGATGAAGAAATTGTACTAGAGCCCAGGAAAAGTGACTTTTTTGCAAATAAAAAGGTCCGAGATGTAGGATGTGGACTCAGACATACTGTATTTGTCCTGGATGATGGAACTGTGTACACCTGTGGATGTAACGATTTAGGACAGCTTGGTCACGAAAAGTCCAGAAAGAAACCAGGTAAGTTAAAAATTTTCTATTTCTAATAATTTTATATCATTTTACATTTGAAATGATTGTTTTATATGACCTCTGTAAACCTAAATTTAGTCTTTATCAGGCTTTAAAAGCAAAGTAAGAGTTATTCTTGACTTTTATATCTTTCTTAGTACTTTGGTTTGTGGTTTCTTTTCCTTTTTTTGTTGTTGTTACTACTAGTATGGCCCCTAATTGATTGTGGTTGAAAATGGCAACAACGAAAACTAGCCTTCAGTGTATGTTTCTTTTGTATAAAATACAAAGGTATCAAAATCTTTAATAAAAGTTCAACCACCTTGAACAGATTTTTAATTCTTAATTTGCTCTGTGATGTTTCTGGACATGTGGGGGATATGATAAAAGCTTTTATTTTGATACTTGCTTAAATAATATCTTAATTCTTCCATTTATCTCCATTATGCTTTAGATATGTAATTTTTGTTTTGCTTAGCTAGAAATCCTGTTTAGTCCCCTGTTTTCCGCTTTCACATCATCAGTGTTAGCTTTTAAAAGATTTGTGAATGTGAGGTGGTCTGACTGTGTAGAGGTACCTAAGCAAAACGTGAACACTTTATCAAGTAATGAGAATTGAAGGCATTTGGTCACATTTCATGTTCTGTTTTCCTGGATGTTGTATTTAATTGGTATTAACACATTTGAGATGGTCTTGTTAGGTACTTTGCTTTCAGTTGTGACAACCAGAAGCTACTACATTAAGGTAGTAGATTCAGGTGAGACTGCTGCTGTATCTAGTGTCAACAGTAATGACACTTAGGTAGCCCCTATGGCAATCCTTTTTCTCTGTCAGTTCATTGTATAGGGTTTTCTTTCTTTTTTTCTTTCTTTTTTTGTGGTCTGCTTTTGAGAGATCAATGTAGGTATAAAAACTCAGGCATTAAATTAAAATATCCTTCATATCATCTCAACTACCATTGTCATACTTTACTCTTAATTAGCAGATCCTGAAGGTTTTAGTTGTTTGTAGATAGGGTCTTAATCCCTTCTCTTGAGGCATAATATGTAACTTGATCTTATTGAATGAATGAGAACGATTCCTTATTACAATAGGTCTAATTGTTGTAGAACTCAAAGTAAATGGTAGTTTTCTTGTATTACACTTCAGAAAAGCATCTTTTACAGAATCTTAACAAATTTCATAATCTCTCGGGTATTGAGGTGGTTGTGGGTGGTAATTTACTATCTGTACATTTTGCTTAGTGTGGAAATGTTGCCTCAAACTGAGATTCCTATGATATTGGAATTACTTAATACATGTAATTTACTGAGGTTTAGAAATTTTAAACGTTACTACACACTGTTTGATGTTAGGGTAAACACATATACCAGTGAGTAGAATAACAAACTGCACAGATGAAGTTTGGTCTTGTTCATACTGTGATGGTCGTATTGTGACATTCCTGTCTTCCTGTTAATCCATCCTGGAAACATTTAGTAATATAAAGTTGAAGAACCGTGCTTCCACTTTCAGATTAGCTCATTGATGTTCAGGGCATAGACAATTGACGATAGAAAGGGGAAAAAAAAAAGAAGAGCTTTGTTTTTCCAGAGATTCAGAGCTAGAGTTGGGTTGGGAGTTTAGACATATGTAAATGAAATAACTAAAGAGATTTGAAATTCAGCTGTCTGCTATATATTTCAAGTCTAGGGAACTTAAATGATGAGAAAGATATTGTGAGATGGAATTAAAGATATAAAAGTTTAATTCTGTCCATAGTCACCTAAATAGCCAAAAAATAAATAAAAATAAAACTGGAACTAGAATTGCTTTTAAAAGGGGCTGAAAGGTTCTGAGCCTAAGGAAAAGTCCCAGTTCTCTGATATTTTGAAGTGTAACTTTGTTGCAGAGATAGAAAAACCTAGAGAAATTCAAGGAGGTAATTGCTATGATAGGATTCCAGCTTTTAACCTCATTTTTTGTTTAAAGTACATGAGTGGTAAGTTTTAATCATGTTTTAACTAAAATTATTTCTCTTTGGAATGATTCTTCCATTAAAAAAAAATTATTTATTATGTATACAGTGTTAGGCCTGAATGCCTCCAGGGCCAGTAGAGGGCATCAAACCTCATTATAGATGATTGTGAGCTACCATGTGGTTGTTGGGAATTGAACTCAGGACCTGGAAGAGAAGCCAGTGCTCTTAACCTCTGAGCCATCTCCAGCCCCTTCTTCAATGTTTTTAAATGTACCTTTCCCTGTTCCTTTTATCAATTGTTGAATTTGAAGACTGAATTTAAATATAAGGAGTTATTAGATCTCTTTTAATTTGTTTTAAAGTCTTGATAATTGAGCCGTCTGGTAATATGTCTGTGACATAGACAATTCCTTCATCGGAGCTTTACTTAAGTTACAGAGAAAGTAGAGAAAAACTTAGAATTATGTCCTTACATAGACTGGCTTTATAACCATAACAAATATGTTGTAACAAAGGAATGGACCTTAGAATCATTAAAGATAAGTCACACAAGTCACATGGCTTACTTTAGGGGGTTGGCCTTGCTGTGTAGTAGTTTGGACATGCAACCTATTGGGAGAGCTTTCCATTCTGGATATTTTAGGAATCATATAAAACGTTTTCTGACTTTTATTATATCAAGAGCAATAGGTTAGGTCCATAACCATCTCTGTTTTCTTACATAGGTATGACCTCATTACTAGCTCTTTCTGAATTAGTGCTAGAAAAATGGATGTCTTTTCCACCTTTATGCATTTTTTCCTACATAGAAACTTCCAGATACTTTTAAAAGCTAGTTTTTCAATTTCTTAATTCTTGGCTTACAAATAAATACATTTATTCAGTATATCTGTCCATTTAAATGAATTGTTAGTTTTATTTGTATACTTCTAGATTTACTTACGAGATTTAAAAGTAATTTATTAAAAGTAAACTTTTCCTAACAGGTTTCTTTACTCACAATATATCCAGTCATAACTTATTGATGGGAACTTACTTGTTTCATGTTAGAAGCAGTAGTACTAAGCTGTTTTATGATGGTAAATAATGTTAGAATTCTGTTAAATTATTTTGGTAGCTTTTTGTGTATTTCAAGTTCTCTCAAATGGTATCTCATTCGAGCCTCACAACACTGTCTCTCATTAGTCTTTGCAGTGAAAGCATTTTGGTCCTAGCAGTAGCTACTTGCTTGTCTTCCTTGATTCCTCACTTTCTGATCTTCGGTTCGTAAAACATAAATCTACAAATGAAATGTCCTTTTTTATACAATTAGATTTTTAAAAGTAGTGCAGGAAATATGTGAATATGGTAAATTGCTTGCAGATTAGAAATACCAAATTGTTCCACACATTTATTTTACCAAAACATGCAAGATTGAAGCTCACTGGGTTTTGTAAGTCATAGTTTTCATAACACCTTCTAAGGAAGAGAAAGATGTAGATGAAAAATGACTCGGAAAAAGTATTACCTAGGTCAGGACTTGAGGCTTGGTTTTGAGCACTATGAGAAAGGTCAGTGCCCAGGAATCAGTTTCAAGTGTAGGGGAAAAGTCATAATGCAAACAGATGCTGTTAGAGAGATGTATAATAATACTTTACTTTGTGTAGGACCCACATCTGAGGAATTTCAAGAGCATTACACAATAACTCATGGTTCCTTTCAAAATGCTTGTGACACAAATTGCAAGAATTGTCCTCATCTTAGGGGATAGATTTTCGGAGAAATGGCAGCACAAGTTGGTAAGTAACTTGTCAAACAGCAGGTGGCTGGTGAGCAGCTGTAAATTGAATCTGAAAGCTTAAGGCTACCAGTCTCCTACTGTATTCACTAAATTGTGCTTATGTTTAGTGTTATTTAAAATAATATCTTCTGTTTGAGGCAGACAAATACTAATGCACAGATTGTTTCTTTGCCATTCTATTTGATGGCCTGTTGAAATAAATTTTTGTGGGCTTCTATTTTTTTTTGGGTTTTTTTTTTTTTTTTTTTTTTTTTTTTTTTGTTTTGAGACAGGGTTTCTCTGTAGCTTTGGAGTCTGTCCTGGAACTTGCTCTGTAGACTAGGCTGGCCTTGAACTCACAGAGATCCACCTGTCTCTGCTTCCCAAGAACTGGGGTCAAAGGTGTGTGCCAACACCACCTGGCATAAATCAGTATTTTACCATGATGATTGCATTATGCCACTGTGTGGCAGGAACAATTTTTGTTGTTGTTGTTGTTGTTGTTATATTGTAGAACAAACATAGAGTCTCATGCATGAAAGCAAACACTCTGACACTGAACTATGCCCCAGCCCAAGAATATTTAGATAAACAAAGCTTACTTTTCTTGTTTCTGTTTTGTGTTATTTATCCTTTATTGTCTTGACTTCTGTGCTGGTCTATCAGAAGTCTGTAGTAATTGTCATGCAGGGTTGATTGAGTGGCTAGCATTAGAACAAGGTTACTTAATTTATGTTATATCAAGGTTGTCTGTCTCTGGGATGCATTGGTTTGCTTGTGTTATAAAAATAACTCACTCCAAAAAAAAAAAACCCTGTAGTTGGCTACTTTCAGGATTTTCTTTGCATTTTGGTATATTACTATGCTTAGATGATTGGTCTGTAATACAACATTCAGAAGGTTGAGGCAGGAGGATCATTAGTTGTAGGCTTTTCTGGGCTTCAAGGTCCTCTAATCAAAAAAACAAAATGAAGTCAGACAGTGGTGGTGAATACCTTTAATCTCAACACTCAAAACTGAAGGCTACCATGTCCCTCACCAGCCCCCCCCCTTTGGTGATGGAAGCAGTATTTTGGTTTTCATTTGTTTTTTGTTGTTGTTTGGATTTTTGAAACAGGGTCTCTCTGTGTAGCCTTGCCTGTCCTGAAATGCATTCTGTAGACCAGGCTGGTATGGGATTAATACTGTAAACTGGCAGCCTAGGGAGTCAGTTTGCATCATCTATTCAGAGATTTTCGCTGTTTTTTGTTGTTGTTGTTGTTTTGAGACAGGGTCTCACTTGGTTGCTT